CCATAACTTTCTGCCTACAAGCGTTCTGCAGATATGGAAATCAGTTTTGAAATCAACACTGCAAGCTCTTTGTAACGGTATGCATGTTTTAATAAAGCCACTTCAACTCCGCGAGCCTTCCTTATAAATAGGAAGCTAGTACTGGCTCTGCGCCCGGCTAATCGTGTGGGTAGAAAGAGACGGTGCACCAACGTAGCCATTAGATTTAGCTACTTGATAAGCTAAATCTATGGAGTAAACCCGTTCTTTGGAAACCCGACGAAGCTTTTGCCCCTATTCGATACATGTCCTTTATAACTGCTTTTTTATCTTGGTGGAATGCGAAGACAAATATCCTAGCACTTATTTGCTGGACAGGCATATTTTTACAGCTAGTTTTGCGGTATCAGCTTTATATTCCCCTCCGTACAGGCATATTTGTAAACTGAGAAACGGTAGACTGTTTTCTTTGGATTTCTCCCATGTGAACTTGATGTTTGGGAACTGCTGATCGAGAAGATTCAAACATACATCCGTCTGCCTTACGTCGGAAGTGATGAAGCAATCGTCCATGTAACAACAATGATTTTCTAAAATGGACGGGCTTTCCGCTTTGGACATGAAAATTATGGCTAGGCTAGAGTTGGCGCTAATCGCTGTCCCATCGCTAACGACCGAGCTTATAATAATGCCCTGAGAATGGAACATTTCAAGCATTTGCTCAAAAGGTTTACAATGCTGTTGATACTGAAGCCGTACAGATTAAGAGAACTATGATGCTCCGAGAGGAGGTCGTAAATCGCTTGCAGTGCATCATTCGATTTTGTGTATAAGACGTTACATCGAATGATTCTATCACACATCCGAGATTAAGTGTGTTTAGCGGAGCCGTTACAGAAGCATACAGGTATGCTGCATGGTGTATGCATGCAAACTCATAATAGTTGTTTTGTTGGGAGAATCGCGAGGTGATGAGATTGAGTGATGTATGCGCGGCCTTCAGCACATCCACATTTTTCAAACCACGATTATTCAGAAAGCCATTAGAACGGATCAGTCTGCTAGGTCGATCATCTCCGACCGCGTCGGAGTTAAAGCTACAATTCTTGGTAACAATTACGTGGATCCACGCCTGCTCGTCGGCATCAACGACGTAAACTCGACGTGAGCCCTATATGTTTCTTTTTTTTGGCTCTTGTGCTGGCAAATGTTCTTTCGTTTTACGTCTTGAGTGTATACGTGTTCAGGATGTACAATATTTA